TGCATTATTAGAAAAACCATCGGGCTCAAATGAGGAAGCTGCCGCTGTTGTTCAAGCAATTGACTATCATAATGCGGGTCCTTCTGCAGTTAAGGTCGAAAAAATTGGGTCTTCCAATCCCCTTAAAGATTTTGAAGAAATGATGGCACGCAGAGATGGATCAAAATGGGTTGAAAAAGCAATCAAAGAAATGCAAGACCATATTTATGACCTTCTAGAAAATTCTTATAAAAGAGACAACCATCTAAATGCAACCGAATGTTTGATAGCTCTTCGCAACAGTTGCATTCGGGAGCAGGTAACCAATTTTGATCTATTATGAACATTATGGATTGGAAATATGATAATATCAGTCGAATGATTGGAGTTCTATTTATTTGCTACTATGGTCTAAATAGTAAGAATGTAAGTCTGGTCAGTTGAAGTTAAATATGAAATAGCAAGATCGTTTGCATAATTAGAACATTTTGAGACTTTATATGCTGAAGTTCAAAAAGAACAGCTATTCAAATGCAACTTATATTCACTTCCATTTTGAGAATCTTTTCTTTTTAGCTTGAAGATGTCACTGTCTTCAATATGCGAGCATATTGTTGTGTTGTTTTGAAGGAAATACATTTTTTAATTGTTTTAAATGAGCGTCTTATCTCCATGGTAGTCATTTATGAGGGCCCTTGAGAGTCCACTTTACTACATGCCTGCAATGTTCGTGCTTCTAGCAAGTAATATCTGTGATTCTTTTTGCAGGAACCAAAGAAGTTCAATGATTTCCTGCATTATCTATGTGAAAATCAGAAGACGCTGGATCTCCGTGATTTCTTTGAGCTTCTTTCATCCAAAAATATCACTTTAATCACTAAAACTGAAGCTGCAGACAGGTATGTTATGAGCCCATTTGGTAGATAATCACCATTTATTGCTAATCACCATTTATTACGGCAGTTTTATAGCTCAAATAGTTGGGGAGTTCACTCTCTTCTTTTGGAAAAAAATATTATTTGCGGAAGCCGAATTTTGTCTGGATACCTAAGCCCGTGTTTCGGTACCATTCGGTACCTACCGGGGCTCAGTATTGCTGACGTGGTTCATTCTGATTGGTATCTGGATGTAGATCTACATTCGGCATCCTCACAGAATAATTTCTCATTCTTTTGACTCTTTTGCCCAGTATTTCAAAAAAAAAAAAAATCATCATTTGTTTGTGTGAAAACAAAACCTTTGCATTTACTGGTTTTTTTAGTCTAATATCTATTATTCCTAATTTCCAGTTTTATTGATATATAGCAAAATTCTCATTTTCTTAAAACATTTTTTCAACTGCAAACAACCAAATAGGCGCAAGCTGAATCTCATCTTCATATTTTTGTTCTCTAATTAGGGGTTTTGATTGTTTTGCCTCATTCTTAAACAGTGACGTGAAGATGGAAGATGCCAAACTTTTGCCCCTAAAAAATGAGATAATTTCTCAAGAGTAAGGAAATCTTATACGCTGAGTGCTCCTCGCTAACGGTTGATGCTTTATTATTGACAGAAACTGTAGGTGGGGATTCTTGTAATTAGGCTGCTTTCCAGGTGATAAATTTTGAATTGTAATATGTAAATTTAACCGTAGTCAGTTCCTGCGTCTTCTTTGAAGGTGCATTAAGTAGTCACAAAGCTTTGTTTTGTTTGAATGATATTAGAAAGTGCCTCTATGGTTTCCATGCATGCATATGGAAAAAACGAAATATATCTTCGGTAGATGTCTTCTTCGGACTAAAGTTTATAATTCTTGGAAATTCAACTTTCTGCTTGGCAGATGAAAATGCAGCCCATTTGAGTGCACTGTTAGGGATTTTGATTTGAGGTTGGATCTTATCAGATGAAATCATTTTCAATTCAAAAATGTAAATCTATAAGAGAGTAAAAAACCATTTGATATTTTACCAACCACACTTGAATTAAAATTGTACTAGAACCAAATTGGGTCGGGTTGTGTGATTAGGATGTTTGGGGTGAAAATTATATCAGACTGGTCCGTATGGACCGGCTCACGTAACAGAGGCAGACGCAGAAGAGCCAAACGTTCTGTCCTGTTGGCAGCATGAATTGGGAAAGTTTTTCGAGGAATTTAGGAGGGAAATTTCAAAATAGGGTATGTTTAGAGATTTCCTTTTTAATCTTATGTATTAAGTTGTATGTTTTGATAGGGTTACAACATCTTGAATTAGGATGAAATTAGATTGTTTTTAGGGTGTTTGAGCTCTAGCTGACCGTCAGAGATTTGGGAGAGTTGGAGCTTCCTCTCCAATTGAAGATCCACTTGTATATTATCTTTTCTTTCATAAAATTTTCAATAAAAAAAAAAGTGTTCGTTTATTTTATTCCTGGTTTTCTTATCGTTGGTTTTTTTTGAAATTGTCGAAATAAGATTTCAGTCAAGGCTTTTCTTCAATTTCTAGTAGTATTTTCTATCAAATTGTTGCTAAATTATTATCGTTTACTTGGTCAGATTAGTCAGATCAGGACTGTCCTTAGGCTGCAGTAAGATCCATTCACAATGAGCGATGTCCTATTATATTAGCGAAATAAAACAGGAATATTCAAGCAACTTGATTAGCATTAGCGTATTAGAAAAATAATATGTTTTTGAATTACTTAGCAAATTTATCACAATATAGATATGATGAAACACATTTTCAAATAAATGTATCTCAAAATGAAGAGTGACAATAACAATATTTGAGATCAGCAAAGAGATCTTTATATTATTAATCATGATGTGTTCAAAATATAGATCTTAATTAGTTCTGTTGCGGGCTAGAAAATCGCGGCGATAGAGGTTTAATTTTGCGTCTTAGCGTTGAACGGATAATTAGCTCACACACAGAGAACACAAGATTTTTAACGTGG